ATCCCACAAATCTGATGTTAGCAACCATGGCAACCAACAATTGGGCACACCCATGCCCACTTGCAATTGGCTGATGACCACATCTAATTTGTGACTGGAATTGGGATATAATTGTTTGATCCCTATGGGAGTGAGCTCTCTTGCTCTCGCTCTTGCTCTCTCCCCTGTCATTGTCTGTTTTATTGCACCTGAAATGCTGTCTCTTGGAAAACAAAGACCTGCTTTGTGACTTGGAGCACATGGGTGTGCAAAAATGGGATTTCCCTTCAAAATCCCTTGGACTATTCTGGACTGTGGATGTTCCTGATGTGGTAACTATGTATCTTCAATGTGTAGTTAAGGCAAATTGCCCTAGCCTTTGTTATTTTGTAATCTCCTAGTCTGTTTGCTGTGCTCTGTACTGAATAAAGATCCTTCTTATTGCTAATTTGTCTTTGATGTTGTAACTTGGATTCCAAGTCTAAGTCTTGTGCCTAACCTTGACCACATACACTACCATTGGAGAGTAAAAGTGTGCATCTCTAGATTGAGTTGCTAGTGTGTTCTGTCCCAGATGCCAACTAAGGGTTTGGAATCTCTCCCTTAGGAAAAGCAGGGACTATTGAAAAGAGATTCTTGTGGCATATTGTTCTGAAAACCAGAGAGGATATAGCCCATCTCGTGGTTTGTTGTTTAATGTACTGAAAAGTACAGGATTCCCTCTCATCCCTGGACTGGCCTGGGTGGGCTAATCCTGTACAAACATCTATATGCACCCCCTTGCCCAGATTGCCTGGAGCTATGGACTGGGATGTTACCCAGCTCTATCTGATGTTAGTCTGGCTCCAGACCGGAAGATCTGGACTACGTGTTACAAGCTGTGGCTGGTTGGCTTAGGCTGAGCCGATTGAAATTGAATCCAACAAAAACGGAGGCCCTGTGCCTGAGCCAGGATGGTCCGGGGTAGGGATCCCACCCACTCCCGGCCTTTGATGGGACACCATTGGTGCCAGTGCCGGAGGTTAGGAGTTTGGGAGTGCTCTTGGATGCCTCCTTAAGAATGGAGGCCTAGGTAGCACCCACAGCCAAGTCAGTCTTTTATCACTGCCGGCAAATTAGGCAGTTGGTTCCCTTCCTCAACTGCAACAACTTGGCAACAGTGAACCATGCGATGGTCACCTCAAGATTAGACTACTGTAATGCTCTCTACATGGGACTGGCCTTTGTCGCAAATCCGGAAGCTGCAGCTAGTGCAAAATGCTGCGGCTAGGCTTCTGATGGGCCTCTCCATGTAGGAGCACATCCAGCTGTCCTGAAGGCATTGCATTGGCTGCCAATAGCATACCAAATTTGCTTTAAGGTGCTGGTTCTTACCTTTAAAGCCCTTTATGGCCAGGGTTTGAAATACCTCAGGGACTGCCTTTCCCCATATATATCCCAGAGAGCACTACGGTCAGGGTCACAAAACCGACTGGCCCTCCTGGGCCCCAAGGATGTCATGCTGGCTGCAACCAGGGCCAGGGCTTTTTTGGTGGTGGCTCCATACTGGTGGAATGAGCTCCCGGAAGAGATCAGGGCCCTGCAGGACCTTTTACAGTTCTGCAGGACCTGTAAGACGGAGCTCTTCCACCAGGCCTTCAATTAGGAGCCACCACCACCATCAACAACAACTGAAATTTATAGAGCCCTGGCCCTTGGTTTGCCCTTGGTTTGCTATTGACAGCCTATGCCTGTCGATTATATCTGGGAAAGATCAGCAAGCTGAACATCTAGATAATCTATTGAATGCACTCGTATGGTAACACCATCACTATGAAATTAAAACAACACTGCTAGCACTTCACGATACTGCACTGTTTTATAACAAACTAACTTTAGATGTTTTATGGTAATTTTATAAAAGGTACTTTTATAAAAGGTGCCCTGAGCCTGCCTTGGCAGGGAGGGCGGGGTATACATTGGAAAAATAAATAAATACATAAATAAATCTCAGAAGCTAAGCATGGCCAACCCTGGCAAGTACTTGGATGGGAGACCTCAAACGAATACCAGGGCTAGGATGCGGGGGCAGGAAGTAGTAAGCCACCTCTCTGAAATGTCCAAGACCCACTAGGGGTCACCAGAAGTCAACCATGACTTCCAGGCACACACATATAAACATTTACACACACATAATAATCCCCCCGCCCCCAATGGTCTAGAAGCTCAAGAAGCTGGTTGTTTCCAGTTCCAATGCGAGGTGCAGGCTATTTACTTTAAAGCTCTTAACAGTGCTTTTTGTACGTAGGTTTTCTGCAACCTTTCCTTCTGAGCTCGATTCTGGCTGCTGTCATCTATATGCTGGGAATCTCCTGGCTGGTCTTTTATTTTTATTTTATTCAAAAGATTTAGACTTTCCCTCACCATAGAAATATGTATGAGTCGACTTATGACAATAAGAATTCTAAAAGCAAAAAGATGAAGGATTAAAAGCATTAGCAAAAATAAAGGGAAAATGCAATAAAAATTGACAGCCATGTCAGATATGAAATTTAGCTGCTCATAAAATCCTAAAAATAATAATGGCAAACATAAACTCAGGAAAAGCCAATTTAAAAAATGGGATAAAAATCAAAATAGTCTGCTGAAAACAATAAAACTGTACAGGAGTGAGGAATATAACAGGCCTAGGAAAATTAAATCTTGTCTTTACTTGGTGCCTAAGCTGCGGTGGCTCAAGTGGTTAAGACGCTGAACTGCAGGCTGTGGAAGGTCGGTAGTTCAGCAGTTCATGACCTGAGTGTGCCGCATGACGAAGTGAGCTCCCATCTCTAGTTCCAGCTCCTGCCAACCTAGCAGTTCGAAAGCAAGAAATTGCAAGTAGATAAATAGGTACCACTTTGGTGGGAAGGTAACAGTGTTCCATATGCCTTGGTGTTTTGTCATGCCGGCCACGTGACCACGGAAATGTCTTTGGACAGCGCTGGCTCTTCGGCTTTGAAACGGAGATGAGCACCGCAACCCTAGAGTCGGATTCGACTGGCTTTTGAGCAAGAGAACCTTTACCTTTACTTTAACTGCATATACGTTTTAGCACCAGGTAAGCTTCAGCAGGGGAGGGAGTTCCAGTGTTTGGGCATCACTGGTATTTGCCCACCCGGCTTGTGAACATGAGGGACACACAGAGAAGAGCCTCTGATGATCTTAATTGCTGGTTGGGCTCTTTACCCCATTCTGTTGGGATGCCCTTGAAGATGCTCCACAAGTTTCAATTGGTGCAGAACTCTCTGGCTTGCCTTCCCTTGTGATTGGATGACAAAATTCATATTGTTCTCTATTCTGCCATGTCTGTACTTTCTCCTTAATTGCTTCCAGTTCCAATGCAAGGTGCAGGGCATTAACATTAAAGCTCTAGCAGTGCCATCCTAAGCAGAGTTATACCACTCTGAGTCTATTGAAGTCAGTGAGCTTATATAAGGGTTCAACTCTGCTTAGGATAGCCTGTGTATATTAGGAGGTGCATTCCTCCCAATCTCATATTTCTTGTTTAGCATTCCCTCTATTTATCTGACATTTGATTGCTGGAACACAGGCAATGGCTTTTTTGGTGGCCCCTTAGTGATAAAATGAACACCTCTCTGCCTAAGGAGGTGTAGTTTATCCATTTCCTTGGCCAGTTCTGTTGTTAGGCTAAGGGCTTCTCTTTACTTTCAGAAGGACTTCCAGCTAATTGAACTTTCCACTGTGCTATGTTAAATTTCAGAATGTTTTGTGCTGGCTTAACTGCTGCCTCGTTTTTATTGAGTCTGGGTTCATTGTGATTTATTGTTTCCCTCTCTTATTGCAGAATCTCTTTTGATTAGTTGTTTTTATAGCTTAAAACAAAGCCGAAAAAGTTACCTTGTGAGTCATTTTGAATACCTGGCAGGAAGATGGCCAATAAGTTAATGTATAAATCAGACATGCTGCTTGCAAGTCATGCAGCTGGCCGTTGGCTCTCTCCCAGCCCAAACACAGAGGGTGCCCAGTGGCTGCCTCATCTGGCTACCACCTTCTCCCCCATTGCCAAGTGGTGCCCCTTGATTTGGGGGACTGTTCAGTGCTGGACTGGCCATTGGCTCCCTGGTAGCCCAAACATCACTGCCATTGCTTCCCTCACTCATTCTTCCAACCTCCTCCTTGCTTCACTCCGTCACCTTCCCACCTTCTAGGGAATAATTGTGGGGGTTGCTAAGCAATTCCCAAAATGGTGGTAATGACCTCATGACGTTATGTCATGAGAATGCCTGTTTTTAAGTTGCATCTGAGAAGTGCAGACATCATTTCTTCAGGTTGTGGCCTTTTAAATATCCCTTATGGGGTTGAGGGGTGTCCATGCTCCTGCCCTTACTGGCTCCCTCATCTATTGTGCCCTTTTTTGCCCAGCCTCCGAACTGAGGGAGGGAGGGGGTTTGCAGAACCTGCTTCCTGCTTCTCTCCACTAAATCTCTCCTTTTCAGCTCGTAGAACCCAGCCACTTCCTCATTGGCCTCCTCCTAAGCTCCTTATGCGGCCAGTGCAGCAAGGATGCACATGCTCAGTCAATTCACATAGTCTCACAAGAACAAGCAGTCTCATGAAACATCAGGGGACTCTTAGGCTGTACCTGCGGCTCCATTCCCCTTTGCCTTCGGTGGACTAAGCAGATGTTGGCAAAGATTGAATTGTGGCTTTGAAGAGCCCATATTGTGTTGCTGCTCTTGCAGCATTTATGCTTATTGCCACTGGCCTGGCAGCCTTCCCTGTTGCCGGCACAGTGGGTTTCAGACTGAGAATCCTTTGTCTCCTGGGTAAGTCCAGGAATGACTCTGGGAATGAGAGCTGGGCTTACTCCTGATTTTTATTTTAAGAAATTTGGGTTTTTCTGCAAGACTTGGAACTTTCCAGGGTTTGTTGATTTATTTGCCTTCTAGGGCCATGTTCAGAAGCAGATATTTGAGTAGACGAGATCTGTATACAGGATGCCTGAACACCATACGTTTTCCTTTTTCCTTTTGATCTAGAATGACCTCCATAGAGCCATCCAACGCACACAATCTGCCATGTTCAACCAAGTTCTGATTTTAATATCTACATTACTGTGTCTTATCTTTACTTGGTAAGTAGTTATACCATTCCTACTATTCCTACTATTTCCACACAGGTAGCTGTGTTAGTCTGCTGCAGCTAAAATAGCAGAGTGTGCATATGTTTAGTGTGCATACATTTCTTGAAACTTTAGTGCACGTACATTTCTTGCAACATGAACAGAAGTAATGTATCTAATGAAGTGGACTCTGGCGCATAAAAACTTACACGTAAAGCTGCCTTATACTGAATCAGACTACTGGTCCATCACAATCTGTATCATCGACTCAGACTGGCAGTGGTTCTGCAGGGTCTCAATTAGAGGTCCTTCACATTACCTGGAGATAACGGGGGTTGAATCTGGGACCTTCTGCCTACCAATCACATGCTTTACTACTGCACCACAGTCCCTCTTATGCTTATGACACAATATGTTAGCTATTAAGGTGCCACAACACCCTTTATTATATCATACTTTTGTAATTCTTGGGTTACAACAGAGGTAGTTTTAATTACATGTGATTTAGGAACATGTTTAGTGATGCAGCAGATTTGGGGTGAGGGGGCAGTTGTATGTCCATAACAGGAAAAACAAAATTCTTTTCCTGTTTATGAAAGGGTTGCACCTTAGGTACGAATGTTGCTGCACTTTAGAAAGGCAGAACTGAGTCTTCTGCAGAGAATGTCATGCCTGTGATATCCCAAGGATAGTTTGTGTAAGGAGGGAAGTTGCTGACCTGCCAGCACCTGGTAAAGCCTTTGGGAAGATATTCTTTTTACTCCCTTAGCATTGGGATGAAGTTAAACATGAAGAGTTCATGGCATGTGAACATGAATAGCTGCTGCATTGATTGGGGAGGGAAAGAAACATGATTGAAAGGAAATCTGGTCTGAAACATATTTCTCCTTACTAAACAATTTTTTTCATTGGGATGAAGTTAAACATGAAGAGTCCATGGCATGTGAACATGAATAGCAGCTGCATTGATTGGGGAGGGAAAGAAACATGATTGAAAGGAAATCTGGTCTGAAACATATTTCTCCTTACTAAACAATTTTTTAAAAAAAAGTTCACAAGCTAAAGTGGGAAACTTGGAAAGCTGAACCTGAGTCTTTGCTTTGAGTAAAAGCTATTGTAAAAAGTTGTGCCATGTCATTTGCATGCTTACTCTCAAATTTAGATTTGTTTGGAATTATATATTTCAGTTCTGGTACAAACTGGACATTTCAACGTGGCCCCATTGTGTGTGAAGCACAGCATTGGGTGTTCTTTGACGAACTTATGCTTCCTTATTTATTAATATCTGTCTCCCCTTGTAACATTGCACCGAAGAACTTCACGTAATATAAAATGTGCCTCCTCTTCTTGCTGAGGATCAGACTGGCTGCGGGCAAAGGAGGTGTTCCCTTGCTAGAGCCTGTGACTGACAAGCCAGAGAACGCTGCTAGGAAGAGAACGTTATGTTCAGATACGTCCTGCAGTTTGGTAACTGACAGGAAAGGCTGACAGAAAATGGCAAGTTGACCTACAGCAATTATGGCCGCCTTCAGCATCTGCAGATAGTGGCTTATTATGCATCGTTATATTCTGACCTTGTTCTGCCCTTTTCAGAAGGGAAAAAAGAGCTAAATAGCAACAATAATACCCACCGACACAATTGCTAGCAAAGGGAATGAAGCAATTGGTTATAGCCTGCAATCCTGATTGAAAATGTCATCCGTTGCCTTAAAACAGTGCTCTGTTGATCTGGGAATTGTTTATGTCATTGCTTCTTGGGGCTCTTGCACATTATGTTTATACAAAATATTAATATTTACTAGGAATTATTTAGTTACAGGCCTGTTTTGACATTTGCTGGTTGAACTACACAGAGCACCTGCATAAGAATTTTTGCAAAAGCCTAGCATAGCTTTTTATCATTGCAGCCCCTGAAGCACAGACGTGAAAGAAGAGAAACATGAGCTAGAAAACTATTTGGGAAAATTATTGAGAAGCTAGGGATTTGGTTAGGTAGAGATTTCGGGTGGGAGAAATACAATTTATGAGTATGAGGTAGAGATTTTGGGTGGGAGAAGTACAATTTATGAGTATGAGGCAGGGATCAATGAGTGAGACTGACTAAATGTCTCTCAAATCGCCTGAGCATCAATACCTACAAATTAATGTTAATGCATTTGCAGTTTGTTTATCTGATCCTGCAGACTGAAGATGTGATTTAAGAGTGAAAGTTGAACACACTAGTCAGATTATTGTCTTTGGCATCAGTATAGCCACACCTTGAAGCATACAGTACATTTTCAGATAATTCACTATGAACAGTAAGCTGGTTCATTCACTATATTATGGATTAGACCCCATCAATCATTTCTGTTAATAGAAGGGGACATTTTCTCAGGTTCCCCCATTTCTTTCCCTCAGAGTAGCATTTTGGGGAGATCTCTAGGCTGCAGTGTGAATGGACAGGCAAAGAAATTCAGTTCCATTCACAGACATGGTTGGTGTGATATCAAACCTGCTACATAATAGTGCCCTCTAGCACGGAGCAATCGAAAACACATATAGAAGGGAAAGTTGACCTGTTGAAGTTTCCAGTGAGCCTTGAATTATGGAAGAGTTATCACGCAGTACTGGAATCAAGAAATGCAACTCTGAAAATGCAATGAGCCAAACCAAACAAACATGTGACATCTCACTGTATGTCCTTTAAGAAGCTGGGCGGGGGGCTCCTATGGCAGCCAGGACTGTGTGTGCAACTGCAGAATATTTGGTATATATCTAAAAATGGCACCTCTTCACATACTGTTCTTGACTTTAATAGTAAATGACGCCTCCCAGTTGTATTTTGGCGAAGTTGCTGAAAAGTAAAATGAAATTGTGCTTCAATGAATGGGCAGTCAGATTTGTTTATTTATTTATTTATTTAGTTATTTATTCAATTTATTCAATTTATACCTCACCTTCCCCCGCTGAGGCAGGCTCAGATAGTCTTGTGTGGAAGTGATGGTCTGATTCTAAATTATGTCTCCAGTAACAAAAAAAAGCAGAAGAGGAGTTTTAAAAAACTCATGCTTCTCAAACAGTGTTATAAAATGTGGAGATCATTTCAGGAGCTGATGCCGCTGGCCTCAGATTAGGAAGGCTGCTGTTATGGGTAAAGCCTTTGGGAAGATATTCTTTTTACTCCCTTAGCATTGGGATGAAGTTAAACATGAAGAGTCCATGGCATGTGAACATGAATAGCAGCTGCATTGATTGGGGAGGGAAAGAAACATGATTGAAAGGAAATCTGGTCTGAAACATATTTCTCCTTACTAAACAATTTTTTTAAAAAAAGTTCACAAGCTAAAGTGGGAAACTTGGAAAGCTGAACCTGAGTCTTTGCTTTGAGTAAAAGCTATTGTAAAAAGTTGTGCCATGTCATTTGCATGCTTACTCTCAAATTTAGATTTGTTTGGAATTATATATTTCAGTTCTGGTACAAACTGGACATTTCAACGTGGCCCCATTGTGTGTGAAGCACAGCATTGGGTGTTCTTTGACGAACTTATGCTTCCTTATTTATTAATATCTGTCTCCCCTTGTAACATTGCACCGAAGAACTTCACATAATATAAAATGTGCCTCCTCTTCTTGCTGAGGATCAGACTGGCTGCGGGCAAAGGAGGTGTTCCCTTGCTAGAGCCTGTGACTGACAAGCCAGAGAACGCTGCTAGGAAGAGAACGTTATGTTCAGATACGTCCTGCAGTTTGGTAACTGACAGGAAAGGCTGACAGAAAATGGCAAGTTGACCTACAGCAATTATGGCCGCCTTCAGCATCTGCAGATAGTGGCTTATTATGCATCGTTATATTCTGACCTTGTTCTGCCCTTTTCAGAAGGGAAAAAAGAGCTAAATAGCAACAATAATACCCACCAACACAATTGCTAGCAAAGGGAATGAAGCAATTGGTTATAGCCTGCAATCCTGATTGAAAATGTCATCCGTTGCCTTAAAACAGTGCTCTGTTGATCTGGGAATTGTTTATGTCATTGCTTCTTGGGGCTCTTGCACATTATGTTTATACAAAATATTAATATTTACTAGGAATTATTTAGTTACAGGCCTGTTTTGACATTTGCTGGTTGAACTACACAGAGCACCTGCATAAGAATTTTTGCAAAAGCCTAGCATAGCTTTTTATCATTGCAGCCCCTGAAGCACTGACGTGAAAGAAGAGAAACATGAGCTAGCAAACTATTTTGGGAAATTATTGAGAAGCTAGGGATTTAGTTAGGTAGAGATTTCGGGTGGGAGAATTACAATTTATGAGTATGAGGTAGAGATTTTGGGTGGGAGAAGTACAATTTATGAGTATGAGGCAGGGATCAATGAGTGAGACTGACTAAATGTCTCTCAAATCGCCTGAGCATCAATACCTACAAATTAATGTTAATGCATTTGCAGTTTGTTTATCTGATCCTGCAGACTGAAGATGTGATTTAAGAGTGAAAGTTGAACACACTAGTCAGATTATTGTCTTTGGCATCAGTATAGCCACACCTTGAAGCATACAGTACATTTTCAGATAATTCACTATGAACAGTAAGCTGGTTCATTCACTATATTATGGATTAGACCCCATCAATCATTTCTGTTAATAGAAGGGGACATTTTCTCAGGTTCCCCCATTTCTTTCCCTCAGAGTAGCATTTTGGGGGGATCTCTAGGCTGCAGTGTGAATGGACAGGCAAAGAAATTCAGTTCCATTCACAGACTTGTCTTCCATTGGCAGAAATGGTTGGTGTGATATCAAACCTGCTACATAATAGTGCCCTCTAGCACGGAGCAATCGAAAACACATATAGAAGGGAAAGTTGACCTGTTGAAGTTTCCAGTGAGCCTTGAATTATGGAAGAGTTATCACGCAGTACTGGAATCAAGAAATGCAACTCTGAAAATGCAATGAGCCAAACCAAACAAACATGTGACATCTCACTGTATGTCCTTTAAGAAGCTGGGCGGGGGGCTCCTATGGCAGCCAGGACTGTG